AAGATCTCTAAAGGGCTGACTGGATGGCTGTCTTCAGCTTTTTATAAGCTGCACACAATCATGTTAATTTCTGCCTCAGCCAAGTTCCCAAGCACCAAGGATATGCTTGTGTGGGTGTTACTTGCTCTGACCTCAGTGGACAGATGAACATTCATATAGCATCTGTTCTTATTTCAGTAAATGAACATATATTTCATATGACCTCAGCAAAAAGATAATTCTGATTAGATCAAAATCACCAGTATATGAAACAAGATGCTGACTTTGCTTCCCCAGTGGTTCTAGGGCTGCTATCCTGACTGTAGCGGTTACCACAGAATTCATCATTAAGGAAAGAAGACAGTCAATGTGAGTCATCCCCAATAGGAAGTGACAGACTATAGTGGGTCAGGATTATAGGAGGCAGCTTCTGACATGCTTCCCAATGCTGCCTAATATTCACACTCTAGTAATCCTCTCAAGTGTGGACTGAACATAGTAACCTACTTCTAGCAAAAGGAATACAGCAAAAGTGATGCAATGTCACTCCTGTGATTACGCTGCAAAAGAGTGTGACTCGTTGGCTCTCTCTGGCTTTCTGGCATTTTGATAAAGAAAGGTGCCATGCTGTGAGACAGTCTATGGAGAGGCCTAAGAACAAGGGAGGTCTCCAGCTGACATTACTTACTTACTTATTCCTATATTCTTGGATTAATACAAGTATCTCTTTGACTACCAGGAATTATTTTCTCCACTCCCAACCAACCGAACTATTTTCTTTAGCTAACTAGTTTTTGTAAGGCCCACAAACGTGTTATCTTGGAAATCACAAACGAGTTTAAAGTAACAGCACCAGGCTGTGTCAGCACTCTAAATGGAGCACAGTATAAGTTTTAAATCACTTTTAGAAACATTGCCTGTTTTCATCCAGAGTTATCTTCAGTCACAGCAGAACAAGGTTCTGATTACATCCTCCTGGCTGAGCTTTTAAAACCCCTGGTTATCATCCTTCCTGGTGTTTCAGCCGAGCTTTAAGGATCACGTCAGGCTGTGTTTGGTCCTGAGTTTCCATTAGTTATCTCCAGATGGAGCTGAGGACACCAGCTGAGGCTCCAGTTTAGGGGTGGGCGTGAAGCTGCTCAGCCGTGTCCGACTCCTTGCGACCCCACGGACTGCAGCCCACCAGGCTCCTCTGTCCATGGGGTTCTCCATGCAGGAGTACTGGAGTGGGTGGCCACACCCTCCTCCAGGGCATCTTCCCTATCCAAGGATAGAACCCAGGCCTCCCACACAGCAGGTGGGTTCTGTGCCATCTGGGCCACCAGGGAAGGTAAAGCAACACAATCAAACGCAGTGGCCTGCCTTTGTCAGAGCTCTCCAAACAGTATACACGTGAGCCTCCAAAAAGGTTTTTCCTTGTAGCTGGTTTGAAGATTAACCTGCTGCGCAGCCTCTGCCTAACTTTCTGGGCAGGCCCTCAGAAGTTTGCCCATTCTCCTCCCCTTTCCTCACACTGGGCCAGTAACACACCAGCCCATGTAGGTCTGAGTCCTGGCTCATTCTGGATCAACCCGACGGCTCCCCACCTGTCATCGTAATCATGCTCACAGACGTGAACTCTCTGCACCCCACTGCCCGCCTCTGTCCTCCACCAGGTACCAGATTTGGCCTACTATGGCTTCTGTGTAACCAACGCCTCCCCAAAGGGTCTTCGGCTGAATGCACCGCTGAAAGTGCTATTGTTTTGTCAGCCCAGTTGCAAACTGGGTTTCTGGCCATAACGTGCTGGTAAAATTGAACAGGTTCCGGGGTGGAGAATGTGGGTCCTGATTTGTAGTGTTTGCTGATGTCCATGGGATAACTCTCAACCATGGCCAATTTCAAGCCACTGTGATGTACTGAGGAACTGGGAAGAGAGAAATGCCCACAGTTAGTGACCATGAGCTGCTTTGAGGGGCTTGGTTTTGGTCAGGTCCAATGTATGTTCGGTGAAAGAAATGGGCACTTTTCCTCTCAACATAAATTTGCTCACTCCAGCCTTCATCTGTCTGTCACAGACAACAGTTAGTCTTACTTCCAACTTAGGGTTAGGACTACAGTGAGGCAAAAATGGTATGTAAAGTGCAAAATTTAAGGAAGCACTCACTCTCTGGATCATGCAGGTGCAAATGGTGCATGTATATGACCCTAAGCATGAAGACTTCCTTAAAGTCTTCCTTTTGTGTCCCAGGAATCTCAATGGTTACACAGCTTCTGCCATTAAATCAAAAGTGGACCGGCTCCCCTCCCCACTCCATCCTCCAGGTATAATGTCTCATCAGCACTTCTCTGTCTGTTCTCTTTTTATCTCATAATGTGCTGGCACATTTGAGTTTTGGTCTAAACTTCTATCCCACTTCCAAGCCCCTACTTCAGTACCTTCTCTGCTTGACAAGCAGCCATGGTTTTGGGTTCAGCTAGACAGTCACATTCATGAGACCCCAAAGGCGTCCCTTCACTAGTACTTGGTTTTGTTGGCAGAGAACAGAGCATACTACTTCGGAGTGACATGGGATATAAACCTTCAACACAAGTCCTCACAGCAGTCCAGGGCTGTTGTTCTTCAGTCCCCAGAACGAGATCTCTGGTAGAAGACAACAAGATTACACAGGCGGGTACAGGACCCATCCCGGCTTAGGATCCTCATGCCACACACAGAAGACAACATCTCATACATCAGTCAGTCCATGAGTACACTCCAGCACTCAGCAAGAAGTACATCACACCACATTCAGGAATGCCCAAGGCCATGGCTTCCCTCCGGTTATTTATTCTTCATTCACAATCTCTCAGCTCATGCACTCTAGCGATCAAGGCTTACATTTACCTCTAGGCAGCGTTGCATTGTTACAGACTTGTCATTCCCTCTGTAGTGGATTACAGAGAAACAGTGCTAGAATATCAACAAGAGGCTATTTTCATAGGACGAAGGAGAAAGGGTTTTGCTAACCCTTTACTCATATACAACAAGGTACAGTATCATAAAATTTCAGAATGCTGGGGTAAGAAAATATCCTAGAACCTCCCAGAGGAAAAAAACGGGTCTCACTCAAAGTTTCATTAATGAGAATGGCTTCACATTCTTTAACAACATCAGAAAGTAAAAGATAGTGGAGGAATATCTCCGAAATTCCAAGAAAAATAATTCCCAAAACAGAAATACAAATCTACAAACTGTTATTCAAGTCTTTAAATGTAGATTTTTCAGATGTACAAAGTCTTAGAAAATTTGCCTCACTGTCTCTTTCCTCAGAAAGCTTCTGAAGAATCTCTACCCCTTCCAAAGTAAGGAGTAATTCAAGAAAGAGGAACAAATTCAAGATATAGGGGATTCCTCATAGGGAAGAAACAAAAGAAAGTCTCAGAACAGCAGTGAGGAGAGATTTCAGGATATTTTCACAAAGCAGGACGATGAAGTACAAGGAGGGTGAGGGGCAGGGGAGAGTATCTGATAAGCCTAAATGTATTAAGAGAAGATGTGCATTTCTAACGGTTCAGGGGGTGAATTACTGATGGCATATAAAAAAACTAAGGAAACAGAAAATCATACAACTAATAACTCTGGAGTAAAAGAAGAACTTAAAAAGAAAAGGCAGCAGTCTTTACTACACTGGGAGAATGGGAAGGGAAAATGCACAAATATTGAGGACGGTGATGTTTATCAGACACTTTTAATTTACTGACCTAACAGCTATTTCTTATTCCCTTCTCCCCTGCCTCCTTACATGATAGAAGCTGTAAAAGCTAATTACCCTCTTTGCAAGATTTTCTGGTAGTTCAGTTCAGTTCAGTTCAGTCACTCAGTCATGTCCAACTCTTTGAGACCCCATGAACCGCAGCACACCAGGCCTCCCTGTCCATAACCAACTCCCAGAGTTTACCCAAACTCATGTCCATTGAGTCGGTGATGCCATCCAACCATCTCATCCTCTGTCGTCCCCTTCTCCTCCTGCCCTCAAATTTTCCCAGCATCAAGGTCTTTTCAAATGAGTCAGCAGATGACCAAGTAGCTGTTCCGGTCAATAACACACAATCTGGTGAAATCTACCTGGAGTTTCTGGGGAAGCTTTACCCTCTTGGTTAAACAGGCAGATCTGGCTGCCATCCTCCTTTCCCTTCATTTCATCTTGGACATGGATTGATGCCTATACCAGCCAAAAGTCACACTAAAAACACGAATCAACAAACTCAATATGCTAAAGTTGGTGGGCAGGAAACAGAGAGTCTGAGTTACTCATGATGTAGCTGAGGTCCTGTACCAACTCTGGACAACCCACCAGTAGTTTTTTGATTAAATGAGAGCCACGAGGCAGGTTTTCTGTTACAACTGAATGCAATAAAGAACTCCTAACTAATGTAGGGTATATTAGAGCTAAATGCTTACTCTCTATCAGTACTGGGAAGTCAATAAATAATGTCTAACATTTTTAAATCAAGAAAAACATGCCGAAGCATGTTATTTACTTAGGAACATGCAGTAAGTATCTAAAAAATAATTAAAAAACAAAAAGGATGCCACTGAGGAGTAGGAATTGGTGCCAGAAAGGGGTAGGGCTATTTTTCACTGTAAGCCTCATACGAAGGGTTCTGAACCAGATACTTCTTTATTGTGGGGGCCGTCTGTGAACAGTTTGGCAGTGTTCTTTGGCCTATACCCACTAGATGGTACTAGCACAGGGAGATGGTGTAACAATTAAAAATGATTCCAACTACGGTCAACTGATCCTACCAGACAAATCCGCTCCTGGTTGAGAACTATTACCTTACATTACTATTTTATTTTTTTAATTTTCAATAATACCGTATGATTTTGATAAAACTAAATTATGGAAAAAGAAACTAATGGTATGAAAAAAGCTAGACAGGAGACCACCAATGACTTTTCTCCCTTCAAAAACTCCCACTTTCCTTCCTGACTTCTCCCTGGGCCTAAGAGACTCCCTCCTCCCCTCCGCACACACAGAGACAGAACAGACACTTACCACCTAGAAACGCACACTCATAGTGGCTGCAGGTCCTGTTTGTGCTCTGAAGGATAAGGTTATTGCTAGCCTCATCCTGTGACACATGAAAAACTTCATTCAGAGGTATTAAAACAATTCTTTCACTTTCTTTATCAAGAAATTTTTCAACGGCAACTCCAAAACATGTTTTGATGGTTAACAGAACATGCTGGTCATCAGCAGCTTGAGGTTTGGATGAATATGCCAAGGTGAAATGGCCAAGTCGGGCTTGGTTCAGCCCTCCAAATGTAAATGAACTATTCAGCCTTATGCTGTACACCACGTTTTTGTAACTGTTCTCACAAGATCTTCTCAGCAACTGCAGAGCTTTTGTCAGGTAAAAATGGAAAGCTTTGAACTGGAAGCCATAGACATAATCTTTTCGAGACTGGCCAGCCATTTCCATAGCTTCATTGAACAGACGGTAAAAGGAAGACTGCTCTTGAGCTGCAGAAATATAGGCCATCAGGGCTACACCATAGTTATCCTTGAAATTCACAGGGAGAAAGAGCTGAGGCTTCTGAGCTTCCCACTTGGCTTCTGCATTTCCCCACACGTCTTCTAAGAGCTGGAGGCTTGCTTTTTCCTCCTTGAACAGTTGAGGAACATATTTGATTTCCATCCGGTTAGCACATTTCAGGTATTCATCATCAAATGCATTATCTGCCATATCTAACATTTCAGCTTTTACCTGCAAAGGAAAAGGAAATTAGTACTCTTGAAATAAAAATATTTAGTGTATACCATTTTCTCTCAATTTTCTGCAAAGAATCCTGCATCCTCTCAAACCCTGCCAAGACTCTCTTCCTTGCTCACAATGAACTTCTGATATCTTTTTATATAGAAAGTATAGTCCACTGTTAGTGATAACTTCTCCCAGCTGTGACGTATTTATATGAAAGAGTAAATGGGAAGTATGAGCATGACCATGCCGATAAGTCATTCATCTGAACCCTGTAGTACAGAGGAAAGAAAATCAGTGTGAAACAAAAGAAATGGGTGGCAGTCCTGACTCTGAACGATATTCTTAGCTAGATTTCCTCAACCGCTCAAGACTATTGAGTGAATCTGAAATACTTTGTATGAAATACTTTACTAGATGGATAAACAGATAAAGGCAAATACTACCCCTTTTTCTTTGAGGACACCCATCCCTTTTCTGTAATGTTTGGCTAGGACTAATTCTGCATCTTCAGCTCCTATGATAAGCAATGATGTGGGTGGACTTAAAAGCCAGAGCACTCCCATATAAACAAAAGGCTTTCTTTTCCTTCAACCATAAGCTCTAAGGATAATAACGGCTTGGGTAAGCCAATAGTTATCCTTTTAGTCCCTTGAAGAATCCTGTCTGCAAATAGAGCCAACAAAGAAAGGTTTGTAGAGCTTAAAGGTGAAGAGAGATGAGGTCCTGATAACATTACTTAAGGCCCCAGTCTACCATTACCTGAAAGCTGTATTTTGCTTCAGTTGTTCGAAACAGTAAATTCCCTATTCATCTGGGCTTTCTGTGCTATGCAACTGGAAAAGGACTAAGCCAGATAGATCTGGGTTCAAATTCCATTTCTGTTACTAACTAGGTACTAATTACTTATGGGACTTGACATTTCTGAGCTTCAACAGCTCTCACTAAGGGAACACTTCTTAGACGCCTTTGCACGTCCAGCATATTCCAACTGGCCATTAAAGGTCGCAGTTTCTCAAGGCTATTTATTTTTCCAAATCTTAAGTCTACCCTTAGGCAATGATGTAAGACCCATAGTTTCAATGATCATCTGAATATCTCTGACCTGTTGTGTAAGTGCAAGATCTATATATCAACTGCATAATTAATAACTCCATTTGAGTTCTGTATATCAACTGCCTACTTAATAATTTCACTTGAGGTACTCAAAGATCCTTCAAACAAAACAATCTAAGAGCAAGGCCAAACTTACAACCCTACTGTCTACAGCTAGCATCAACCTAGTCCTTATAAAAAACCTTCCATTCATTTGTGAAACTTCCTTAGATTTCTCCTTCTCACTCATGTCCTGTACTCCAAAGGCCTAAAAAACTTCTCCAGAGTGCTTTCTGTGTGTGCAGCACTAAGTGTTCATATATACTAACTCATTTAATCTTCGTGGTAACCCTGTGAGGTAGGTTCAGTTCAGTTCAGTCACTCAGTCATGTCCAATTCTTTGCGAACCCATGGACTGCAGCATGCCAAGCTTCCCTGTCCACCACCAATTCCTGGAGCTTACTTAAACTCATGCCCATCAAGTCAATGATCCCATCCAACCATTTTATCCTCTGCTGTCCCCTTCTCCTCCTGCCTTCAATCTTTCCCAGCATCAGTGAGTTAGTTCCTCGCATCAGGTGGCCAAAGTATTGGAATTTCAGCTTCAGCATCAGTCCTTCCAATGATTCAGGACCGATTTCCTTTAGGATAGACTGGTTGGCTCTCCCTGCAGTCCAAGGGACTCTCAAGAGTATTCTTCAACACCACAGTTCAAAAGCATCATTCAAAAAAAAAAAAAAAGCATCAATTCTTGAGCACTCAGCTTTCTTTATAGTCCAACTTCACATCCATAGGTAGGTAGGTACTATTATTAGTCCCTCTTTTAAAGATGAGGAAACTAAGGCAGGGAGATTAACTTGTATGCAATTCAGCTTTGAACCCAGGCACTCTGGCTCCAGAGTCTATTTCTTAACTAAAATGTGTTTCTGATGATAAAGACCACTGACATTTATATAGCACTTAAAAAAAAAAGTTTAACTTTGTCCTTGTAACAACACTTATGAAAGGTCTGGAATAAAACTCACAACACCATCTTACAAGTAGTGCTAGTAGGAACTGTACTGGCATCAGAAACTGTCTGATTACCAGCCACGAAATATTCTGTTGGGAAAGTCACTGAGACCCCTGAAATTCTAGGTCCGTAGGTCGGTTTCTTTAAGTGGGAATTTGAGCTTTACTAGATCAAATCATTGCCATCTCCTAGCCAAGAAATGCACTTTCCTCCACAGCACAGAATGTACCAGAGTACATCTTGGGCACCAATGTCCAATTTATCTTCAAGACTTCAACATATTACAAGACATCACGCCCTGAAAACACCTCCCACATTCCTTACATCATATCCAAGAGTTGATCCACTATGTTCCTGTCTTTCCCCTGTGCCTCTAGCCAGTCTCCACATGTCTAATTTTAGACTTCAAGTCTTTCTGGCCCAAGGCCACAGATGATTGTGTGTTCTGAACAGTGAGTACCTTGTGCAGTGAAAAAGCCCACAAATGCCACCACCATTCAGGGAAAACTGAATGGACACTAAGGAACAGGTACAAAAGCTAGGTGAACCCACTAATTATATTTTCTTCCTGAGTTATCCACTGAAACAAGGCTATATGGATGAAGCTTAATTACCAAAAATTTATTACAAAAATGTAAAAGTGATTTAAAAAGGTATCAGTTAAATTATGAAACATTCATAAATATATCAAAATTATGTTGCAGAAAAATATTAAAAAGGCAAATCAAAATCACAGTGAGATACCACCTCATATTCATTAGGATGGATATAAAAATAAGGAAAAAAGGGAAAATAGCAAATGTAGGCAATGATAGAGACAAACAGAATCCTCATACACTGCTGTGTAATATAAAATGTGGAAAACAATTTGGCAGTTCCTCACAATGTTAAACATTGAGCCACCATATGACCCAACAATTATATACTTCTGGTATAAACCAAAGCAAACTGAAAACATATGTTCACACAAACAAAAATCTGTATGCAAAAGTTTGTGGCAGGACTATTCATTAGTAAGTCCTGAATGAGGAAATGGCAACTCACTCCAGCAGTCTTGCCTAGAAAATCCCATGGACAGAGGAGTCTGGGAGCTCCAGTCTATGGAGTCACAAAGAGTTGGACATGACTCAGCATGCATGCTCGAATCCATTCGTAAGAACCAAAAAGTGGGGCCAACCCAAATGCCCAACAATTAGTGAATTGATAAAATGTGGCATAACCATGCAATGAAATATAAAAAAGAACAAAGTACTAATATACACTGCAACGTGTATGAAGCTTGAAAATGTTACGCCAAAAGAAGCCACAGAGAAGGCCAGATATTGTATGATTACATTCAGATGAAATGTCCAGAATCTAAAAATTCATACAGACAAAGCAGATTAGTGGATCTCAGGGGACACAGGGAAGAGGGAACTTGAATTGACTGCTAACAGCTACAGGGCTTCTTCTTGGGGTGACAGGAATCCTATAATGAGATAAAGTGATGATGGTTGCACAACATAGAGAATATATGACAATCACTGAACTATACACTTTAAAATGGTGTATTTTTTATATGGGAATTACACTTCAGTTTAAAAGTCACACTGCAAAACAGGTAACAGAATATACAGTGATTCTATAAACAATATTTCAGAATATTAAACTCAAAATGGATGAAGTTTTTAAGAATTTAACACATTTTAAAGAACGCGCTTCAAATCAGTGGACAAATACTCAGTAGTGATGTGAGAGCTAACAATGTGGGGGAAAAAAATCAAGTGAGATACCTGGCTCATATTTTACATAAAAACATGTTATAAAATGTTTAAAGATTCAATTGTAAAAAATAAAGTCATGAAAGTTCTATCAGAATAAAAAGAATACTGAACGTGAGAAAATAGCCACTATATAAAACATGGGAAACAAGTAGACATTGTATTGTCAACGTATATGAAGAAAAATACATGTTTTTAGACTATCCGATGCCACGGACAGACACCTATAGCACAGTATTAACTTAAAAAGGTAAAAAAAAAGAATACGATATGTAGTGTGAATCTATCTTGTAAATTACAAACATAAATACATAGAAAAAAGGTGAGACGCCTACACACCAACAGATTAAGACTCATTGCCTTTGGGTGGAAAACTGTGGATGATTTTACTTTCCTCCCTTTGTCTACTTTTAATTTTTAATTTTCTACAGTTAACATGTATCAGTGTGTAAAAGGTAAGATCTACATCTAAAAAAACTAACTTATACCTATTCTATCTGTCCTCATTTCTATCATCAACCCAAACACATGCCTCAGGCAACTTTATACCAAGAGTTCCCATTCCAGTGACCACATGCTTCCCATTCCTAACATTACCTGGAGGATGTCCATTAGAATCATAGGTGCCAACAGCACGGTGACCATTTCAAAATGTCCTGTCTTCATTTTTCTCTTCTAAATTAAAAAGGAATTCCAATTTAGTAGACTTAAAAAAAAAATTTAGAGAAGTAAAACGGGATGACACACAGGATATACATTTTTTCATTCTGGGTAAGAGTGGATATCATGATGGTTAGGAAGTGATTATGAATAAATCCCCAATGGCTGAAAGGGTCATTAGATTTTGTCTGGTGATCTAACACCTTCATTCTACACATGAGGAAACAAAAGCTCAGAAAACTTCAGATATTTGCTCAGGATTAAATATGTGAATTTCCATTCTCCTGTAGACATGTTGTCTCTCCCACCAATAGTCACTGATAGTCAATTATTCTTCCTCCCACTCAATCTCCCCTCATCATACACAGAAAATCACAAACTAATAAAAAAAAGGAAAGAAACAGATAGGTCTCCTAGCTCCCAGTCTCCAAGAATTCTCCAGGAGTTAGTATCTACACACATCATCCATTCTTTATCCTCTCTGCAAACCAAGTGACGCCCATTTGGTAGGATGGAGACAGGTAGTGGTAAAAACTAGAAGGTTATCCGGGGTGTTCTCTTTCTCCCAAATATTCACATTTAAGAGAAACCAAGGATAAAACGAGCATCATGAATAACTTGCTGAAAGCAGGAATGAGAATAAGAAGGAGGTGAACAGGAAGCAACTCTGGTAAGATTATATAACTCTACTGGCTGTGTGCCCAATATTCATCCCAACATTCATGAGACAGAAGCAGGTAAACAGGAAGGTAAGAGTCCATCAAGGGCTGAAGCCGTCCCAGAATCACTAACTGATTCAATTAATTAAAGACTGCTTTACGGCTTTTTCCACATACCTAAAACAAAGTTGACATGACTGGAACTGAATTAAAATCTTTTTTTCAAATAAAAAAAAATAAAAAAATAAAATCTTTTTTTCATCCTACCAATCACCATATTCTGGCACCTGAAAGTGGGGATAAACAGCACAGGGGAAAGAAGATAGTCTTCCCTTTGGCCCCAGACTGCCATCTTTATTCACGAGCAGTTTCTTTCATTAAAGATATTGAAAGATAGCACAAAAATGCCACTTCTGTGTTAATCGCCCCTTTAGAAAATAGATTTTGAAAATAACACTTGACAGATAACTGTCACAAGGCAAGCTCTGAATGAGGATTTTCTTGAAAAATCTTCACTTCCGTAGTCTGAATGTAAGTAAGTCAAAATGTTTACCTGGCTTTTCTGCCTGTGGAGTTTTAAATGATGCTAGGTCTCACTGTTTCCCCACTCTCTCAGTTGTGGTGAGGGTGTCTTCAGGATAGGAGGTTGTTGACGCTGAGAGCTGAAAAGGGAATGCTCTCCTTTTTATAAACATCCCCAGCAGTAGCTTGGCAGTGGCACATTACCTCATTTGTGTTCTGCTATTTATATCTGGCCCCCACACTATCCCTTGGAATCACCACCGTTAACACATGAAATCTCCAAGAGGCTTGTAAAGCCACAGCAATTCCCTCCAACCACACAGCATGTTCAGTCTGAGCTCTCAGTTCTGGGCTTCTCAGAGAGTGATCACACTTCCCATTCCTAACCTTTTGACCCTTTGATTCTGAGATGTCAAACTAAAGCAAGGATTTTAACCTCGCTAGATGGTTCACATAACTCAGGGGACTTCCTGTGTTAATCACCGGCTACAGTGATGGCTATCACCATTCACTCAACTGGCTTACTGTATTTTAGGTACTGTGCCAGATGCTGGGATGCACAAGGAAAACAAATCTGAAAAGCACTCAAACTAGCAAAAGATATGAAACTTATCCAGAATACATGTTAAGAATCTTAAGTACAAAGCCCAGTGAGTGCACTAAGGAGGGAAGGATTTGGCGGCATCTGCAACTATAGCCCTCATTTGAGTCAAGTACACCTGGCAAATACATTGACTAGTAAATACAATGTTGAAGACCGTATGTTATTTGTTTTTCTCTCCCTGACTTATTTCTTGGCATAATGCCCTCAAGAGCCATCCATGTTGTTACAAATGGCATTTTTTCACTCTTTTTATGGCTGAGTAATATTACATTATATATGTACCACATCTTCTTTATCCACCTAACTGTTCATGGACACTTAGGTTGCTTCCATATCTTCTTGTTCACTCAGTCGTGTCCGGCTCTTTGAGACCCCATGGACTGCAGCACACCAGGCTTCCCTGTCCTTCACCATTTCCCAGAGCTTACTCAAACTCACATCCATTGAGTTGGTGATACCATCCAACCATCTCGTCCATTGTTGTCCCCTTCTCCTCCTGCCTTCAATCTTTCCCAGCATGTAAATAATGCTATCAAGAACATGAAAGTACAGAAATCTTTTCAACTGTTTTCATTTTCTTTGGGTCAATACTCAGAAGTGGAACTGTTAGATCATTTGTTGTTACTGGTGCTGTTCAGTCACTAAGTCATGTTCAACTCTTTGTGACCCCATGGATTACAGCACACCAAGCTCCTCTGTCCTCCAATATCTCCCAGAGTTTGCTCAAACTCATGTCCACTGAGTTGATGATGATATCTAACCATCTCATCCTCTGTCACTCTCTTCTCTTTTTGCTTTCAGTCTTTCCCAGCATCAGGGTCGTTTCCAATGAGTTGGCTCTTGCATCAGGTGGCCAAACTATCAGAGTTTCAGCTTCAGCATCAGTCCTTCTAGTGAATATTCAGGGTTGATTTCCTTTAGGATTGACTGGTTTGATCTCCTTGCTGTCCAAGGGGATCTCAAGAATCTTATCCAGCACCACAATTCAAAAGCATCAGTTCTCTGGTGTTCAGTCTTCTTTATGGTCCAACTCTCATATCCATACATGACTACTGGAAAAACCACAGCTTTAACTATATAGACCTTTGTCAGGAAAGTGATATTTCTGCTTTTTAATACACTATCTAGGTTTATCATAGCTTTCCTTCCAAGGAGCAAGCATCTTTGAATTTCACAGCTGCAGTCACCCTCCACAGTGATTTTGGAACCGAAGAAAACACAATTCTGTTTTTAACTTTTTGAAGAACTCCCCATATTTTTCATAGTGAATGCACCAATTTACATTCCCACCAAGAGTACATAAGTATTTCTTTTTCTTTACATTCTCCAACATTTGTTGTCTTTTTTAATAAGAGCCATTCTAACAGGTGTGAGGTGATACTTCATTGTGATTTTGATGTGCATTTCCAAAATGATTAGTGATACTGATCTTTCCATGTGTCTGCTGGCCATCTGTGTATATTATTTGAAAAAATACCTCTTCAGGTCTTCTGTTCATTTTTATATGTATTATTTCTGATTGAGTTGTTATGAGTTCTTTACATAGTTTGGATACTAACCCTTTATCATAAGTATGATTTGCAAATATTTTCCACCATTCAGGTTGTATTTTTATTTTTAGATGGTTTCCTTTACTGAGCAGAAACTCCTTAGTTCAGTTGAGTACCATTTTTTGATTTTTGCTTTTAATGCCTTTGCTTTTTGTGTCAAATTCAAAAAATCACTGCTAAGACCAATGCCAAGGAGCTTACCACTTATGTTTCCACTAGTTTTATGGTTCAGGTTTTACATTCACATCTTTAATACATTTTGAGTTAATTTTTGTGTGATGTGAGAGAGTGGTCTGGTTTCATTCTTTTGTATGTGCCTGTTCAGTTTTTCCAATACCATTACTGAACACCATTCCCAACACCATTTACTGAAGAGGTTCCTTTCCCTATTGTATATTGGCTCCTTTGTTGTAAGTTAATTGACCACATATGCATGGGTTTATTTCTGGGCTTGCCTTTCTAGTTCACTGATCTATGTGTCTGTTTTTATGCCAATACCACACTGTTTTGATTACTATGCATGTGTGTTAGTCACTCAGTCACGCCCAACTCTGTGCGACCCCATGGACTGCAGCCCGCCAGGCTCCTCTGTCCATGGGATTCTCCAGGCAAGTATACTGGAGTGGGTTGCCATTTCCTTCTCCATTTGGTTACTATAGCTTTGTAATGAAGTCTGAAATCATGGCACACATACCTTCAGCTTTGCTCTTCCTTCTCAAGATTGCTCTGGCTGTTTGGAGGTTTACGTGGCCCCAAACAAATTGTGGGCTTCACTGGTGGCTCAGATAGTAACGAGTCCACTTGCAATGCAAGAGACCTGGGTTCGATCCCTGAGTCAGGAAGATCCTCTGGAAAAGGGAATGGCAACCCGCTCCAGTGTCCCTGGCTGGAGAATTCTATGGACCGAGGAGGCAGGCGGGCTGCAGTCCCTAGGGTCACAGAGTCGCACAAGACCGAGCAACTAACGCTTCCTTACTAAGCAAGCTTTAGAATTTTTTTTGGTCCTATTTTGTGGAAAATGCCATTGGAATTTTGAAACAGATTGCACTGAATCTAATATTGCTTTGGGTAGTATAGACATTTTAACAACATGGATTATTCTAGTTCCTGAGCATGGAATATCTTTCTATTCATCTGAGTCTTCTTTACCTTCTTTCATCGCCTTGATTAAATTTATTCACAGATACTTTATTATTTTTGGTGAACTGTAAATGAGATTATTTTCCTTTATTTCTCTTTCTGATAGTTCATTATCAGTGCATTGAAACCTAAGAGATTTCTGTGTATTGATTCTGTATCCTGCAACTTCACTGAATTTATTAATTCTAGTTTTTGGAGGAATTTTAGGGTTTTCTGTATATAGTTTCATGTCACCTGCAAACAGAGACAGTTTTACTTCTTCCTTTCCAATTCAGATGATTTAATTTCTTTTTCTTGCTGGACTGCTCTGATTAGGACTCCCAGTACAATGCTGAGTAAGTGTCTAGAGTGGCCATCCTGGTCTTGCACCTGATTTTAGATGAAAAGCTTTCAGCTTTTTATCACTGAGCATATTAGCTGTAGATCCATCACAGACAACCCTTATTATGTGGAGGTACAGTCCCTCTATACTGACTTTGTTGAGAATTTTTTTTTTAATCAAAAATGGGTGTTAAATTTTGTCAAGTGCTT